TGTAAGTTAGAGATTCATTTATCATATCATGTATGGACAGATTTATTGATTATGAGAGGAGTTATGAGTTCTTAAACACTAGCCTGAATGCTCACTTATAGTGTGTTCTTTCACTGCATGATTCAGTTTAATAAAATGCATTTAGAATGCTCCCAAAATTCAAGATATGTGGGCAGAAATTGTATATATTTATATAATTTCATATATATTGATCAATATCACACAAAGAGTGCCATTTTTTCACAAAAATCACAAATGTGATATTGATTTTATACAACTGTTCAATAATCAAGAAGTTAATATTAAGAGAATTACGTTTTAGACACCACATTGCCTATTTTTTGCTCTATTTCGCCAAAAAAAATGGTTCCAAACAAAGCCACAGCACTGTTTTGCGTCTCTGAAAAACATGACAGTGTTTCGTTCCTGAATGAATCAACTGTTTGAATGAGTCGGTTCAATCGCAATGACTCACTGAACAGTGACTTTCTGCCACCTACTGGCGGTTTTCATTTCACATTTTAAAGTACCTTTTTATAAATATACTGCATATATATATATTTTTTTTACATCAGTTCAAGTATCAGTATTCAACGTTTTAAGATTATAATATCAATGATATTGATTTTATACAACTGTTCAATAATCAAGAAGTTAATATTAAGAGAATTACGTTTTAGACACCACATTGCCTATTTTTTGCTCTATTTCGTCAACAAAAATGGTTCCAAACAAAGCCACAGCATTGTTTTGCGTCTCTGAAAAACATGACAGTGTTTCGTTCCTGAATGAATCAACTGTTTGAATGAGTCGGTTCAATCGCAATGACTCACTGAACAGTGACTTTCTGCCACCTACTGGCGGTTTTCATTTCACATTTTAAAGTACCTTTTTATAAATATACTGCATATATATATATTTTTTTTACATCAGTTCAAGTATCAGTATTCAACGTTTTAAGATTATAATATCAAAACATTATTTATGCATTTGTAACGGCAGGTTAGAGCGTTCATGCATTGCATCAAACGGTGTATGCATCTAATGCCACTTCAGATGCAGCTTCTGTTTCCTCTGCATTGCATTAATTTAGTTGATAATGATGTTATTTGTTTGGTAACAGCCCCAAATGTCTTATTATTATAACTGACTTTATTGATTAAATATAAGACACACTTCTAGAAAGAAAATGGCTTTACAAAGGTAAAAATGCCCATAAAGGGTAAAAATCATTTTAAAAGATTAACTTCTGTCACTGCTGTGAACTGACCACCACACAGAGTCAGCTGTCCGTGACAGTCCTAAAGCGCAACACACTCAGCAAAATATCGTCTGATTATCAATCATTATCGATAAAATCCCAGAAAATATAGAGATATAATTTTCTGTCAACATCGCACACCCCTAGGCTAGATATTTAATTTTTCTTTGCTTAGGGATTGTTTGGTACACCTAATTCACTGATCATAGTAAAATCATCTTCTATCTTAGAATTAGGTTTTCTCAAGGATAACGAGGACAAGACAAAACATTTTTTTTTAAATGGCATCATACGTATGTATATAACGTTTTTTTTGTGAAGGGGCTGACGGGGGGGGGGGGGGGG